ATTTGCCCTACCACTAAGAACAGCACACTGCTTGGATGGCTTAAGAGACTGATCAATCATTACACCAAAATCTATTTCTTTCTTGATAATGTTAAGATTATTTCCATCCAAATTATGGTAACCCACATACATTATCTTGCTTTTCTTATAATTAAAACCCATTTTCCATTTATTTGCCCAACTCACTAAATGAGCTAAATCCTTTTGTCAAGCAGCAGCATCCTCTTCACAGCTAGCAACATCCAAGACCTTAATGTCATCTGCAAATTTTAAGTAATTTATTGACCCTTCCTTAATCTATGTCATTGATATAAGTCAAAAAGAGCAAAGGTTCTAAGACTGAGTTGTGAGGTACCCCACTCGTGACATTAATTCAGTTTGACTGAACTCCATTTATAACAACCCTCTGCTTTCTTACATCCAGCCACTCATCAATCCAAGTAGTGAAATTATTCCCCAAACCTATAGAGATAAGTTTTTTTACAAGCCTTTTATGTGGCACTTTGTCAAATGCTTTCTGAAAATCCAGATACACCAAATCTGCACCCTTACCCTCATCTACATCAGCAGTAACCTTTTCAAAGAATGTCAAAAGATTTGTAAGGCAAGATATTCCCTTAGCAAAACCATGTTGACTATCCTATACAAATATAAACTTTGTTAAATGACTTTGAAAAGTATCTTTAATTAGACTTTCCAAAACTTTTCCCACAACTGACTTAAGACTAATGGGCCTATAATTATTGGGTCAATTTTTATTACCTCCCTTGAAGAAAGGAGTGGCATTAGCTAAATTCTAATCCTTTGGCACCTCCCCACTATTAAAAGATTTAAAAAAAATAGTAGTGAGTGGATCACATATCCATTCATTAATCTCCTTCAAAACCATTGAGAAAATATTATCTGGCCCAGAAGCCTTATTGTTTTTTAAACTTCCCAATTTTTTATTAACAAGGTCAGAATTAATGCAATCATATTGCCCAACCTTGTTTCCATCTATCAACTGTTCAAAATGAGGAATACTGCTTAAATCTTCATTAGTAAAACTGAAGAAAGAGCAGAATTTAATAACCCAGTCATCTCATAATCAGCAGATACGAGCCTTCCTTTATCATCACTCAAGGGTCCCACTCCCATTCTATCATTTTGTTTACCTTTAATGTACTTAAAGAAATCCTTACTGTTAATTTTTACATTTTCATCCAACTTTGTTTTCATATATCATTTTTTATATCCTACTTTTTTTGTTTGACCAACTTTCTTGATCTTTTATTCAGGTTTATAAATGTGTTTAATATAATTTTATCATAAATTTTACAGAATGAAATTGAGATAATATGATAGTCATGCCAAATATGGATTTTACTATCTTTAAAGCTAAGACATATTCGGATACTTCTAACCTTGTTGCTATTTAAATTTGATCTTTAATTCTAAAACTGATTAGTACTCCTGATGCTACTCTTTTTCTTTCCAGTTCTTTACTGCAACTTTTGCAATAGAAGCTTGTATGAAATTGATGGCTTTGAGCCCAAAGAATTACTTTAAAGAAGGATGGAATATCTTTGATTTCATAATTGTGGCCCTGTCCTTGTTAGAACTGACCTTATCTGGTGTTCAGGGGTTGTCAGTGCTACGGTCATTTAGATTGGTAAGTAGAAGATATTCTCTAGGACTGTATTACTAAATTGGATATTTTTCACTAGTTGACATTATTCAGTTTTGTCAGTTTTCATCATTTTCACTACATTACATTTAAATTATTAAATACAGTAGTACTTGATAGTAGGGATCATCATGAAACAAAATGGCGGGTATAAATATCACCCTTTAAAACCATGACTATTTCACAGTATTTGCTGAACAAAACTAAAGCTGATTCCTAAATCACTATATATGTGTTTACGGAGTGAATCAAAATTTAAGTATTTGAACAAATTTTCAAATTTTTCCAGACAAGCATACAGAAAAAAAAATAACTTTATTGCTCTATTTCTTTCATGGAACTCCTACTTCTGGGGTCCCAATACCAAAAAGGATACTAGTATATATATATAAAATGGATGATGCACTACTTTGGGCATATAATTAAATTTGAAGGTAGGTTGGTGGAGATCCTGATCAGTAAAATTAAATTGGGTATACATGAGCCCCATGCTTGTTATTGCTAGCATACAAAAATATATAGCTAATAAAAAGGAAACAAATAGGTATAAAAAAAAAATTAATTTTATAAAGTAGGGATCGATGTATACATAACCTAGCTAGCCATAGTGATATAGAAAGTTTTAATACTACAAAAAGTTTTGAAATAAGAAAGTCAAAACTACAAAA